GAATCTCCTCCCCTAACTTTTCCTTTCCAAGAGATAATCAAGCGTCTCTGAACGATTGTTCCTTGTAAGTTCTCTTTCCTTCGTGGGCCTTGCGGTGTGATGCATCCAAGTCGTTCATGATTGGTAAGCCATGATGATTGCGATCAGCCCCGTTGTGAGTAAATAAATGTGGTTTAAATGTGGAAAGCACTGTTTCCCATGTACTTTTGTTACTCTGCTAAGAGAAATAAGCCCAAATTAATGAATGAAAAGGCCTCTATAATACTCTAAGGTGTTTTTCCTTAATCTAAGTTTAATATATCGAATACGTAACGGAGCCAAATCGTCATTTCGAATCACTATTAATATTAACAAGGTGGCAAGGCGTTTATAAAGAGAGGTAGACTTGTCAAAGAACCTGTGATTCAAAAGTTCTTTTTCCCATACCCCATTTGGGTGAATTTTTTAATGTGTAGGTTATTAAATATGTAATAATTTCTCAGATTTCCAATGCAAAAGCGGCATCCGTTACATAGCTTAGGTAGTATAAGGTTATTCCGCGACATTAAATCTGCTTATGCTCCATCTACAATGGTATGGAGTTCTCTTAATGCCATTACGTGATGGGACGTTCCTCTTGAGTGTGTGGGTTTTTTTATTAACCTTAAATTACATCACTCGTCAATTATCCTTCGAGAAGAGATAGAATAGCTTATGTCTATTTCACTATTTGATTTCGTTTAACCTCTGGAGAACATATTATCTGATGTGTAAAGTCAGGTAAGGAAATTTGGACGTCACACGTATATGACGCTGGTAACGCACTTGTTAGAAGTCATTTCCAAAACTTGGAGATTGATGACTCTGACCTTGCTTTAAAAAGAATTCCTGAAATTGGGGATAGTTCCAGTTAGATACTTATCATTTAAGATAAAACAAACGCATCTTTTCTTAAAAGTAAATGAAAACAGTGCTGTATCAAATGCCGGAGTTTCCGACCCATTTTAGTGGAACGAGTGCTTATTAGTTTGCACAACTAGGTTTTTGATTTCCATTCCGATCTATTCGACTGATCGCCCTTTCATCGAATTAGATTTTTGTTTTGTGGAATTTGCATAATCACGAGTGGGACTGCTTAATGACATAGAACTTTAACGATATTCCACTTGATCAATGATGCAAATATCCAGTCCTGGACATTATTTGATTAAATACATAACAAATACTTGTTTAACCTCACACTGAAGTTAGACCAATAGAACTTATAGAGGTTCAAGTAATTACATCGTTTCAAGTTAGAAAATGCATTCGATTTTAATGTTGCGATCGTATGCCTGCGGTGGTACGCATCTTATCTGAACAGGAGACATCCATCTTCTTTTGCGAACCTAACCATCGCCGGTGCCAAAATGTGTACTTCCATGTTTTCTTCGACTGCTTAGATCAAATCAAATCAGATTGCTTAATGGCCATTGGCACCATTAACATTGGCATTTGTGAAGTGCAGCACATAGCCTTCGTTTGGGGGAGGATATGCCATTGCTACAACTTCCTCCACCTTGTGTACTTTTATCAACACACCATGGGAAAATTGACCTTGGAAAGTACATTCCACCGCGACCGCAACTTTCAGCTGACGAGATGCGTGAAAGATGGTGAAAAAGTGCGACCTCGATGCAAATCAATTTTTTTCGAATTACCATTACTGCTACCCGCGACCAAGTTTCGAAATAAAGTAGCTACTGAATTCCTCAACTCTTTAATGGCAGTAGTATAACCAAAGTAGCCACTTTCAAAGTGGAGCACTACTTCCACTTTCTACGCAGCAAACGTCTACGATTTACTGGGGTAGCGAAAACTAAAAAATCCGAAAGGGCTTACGCTCTGAATAAAAACAAATAAATAAATAGAACTCAGTTAATAAGATAGTTAAGTTGTGAATAACACTCAGTAAAATAACGCAGACTTCGTCTCATTTGAAGTAAAGATTAGACGATTTTGGCGCGACTCTACTGCTTATCCACATATTTGGGTGGCGAATTGTTAGTGAGATTTTTCCTTCCCAAAAACCTGACCATTCTCTACGCCACTTTTCACTTAGATCACAATTTTTAGTGGGAGACGTCAAAGAGGGGTTCGCCTTGTCTTGGTAGCTAAAATTAGCCTTCATGAATGTCCTTAAATGCCATCTGGCACTTCATTCACATTTATGTAAATACCATTTTTTAAGAGTTATTGAGAAATCCAATGCTCCGCTCTGAAAGACTACTCTACATCTCAACAGTTTTTATTTGAATAATAATAATAAATAATAATAATATCATCTGACTGAAAAGAAGGATCCATAGTAGTTAATGCAAGTAACAATCACTACAAATACTCGGATAACCTTATCCAACTTTATTTACTTCAAATATGTGTCTAGTACCATAGAAACAGACATGATCCAATAAAACATGAACAGAAATTATTTCTGATGAGGCTTTCTATGTTTAAAATAAATATGGACTCTAAGATTTACTAATCATATTGTTGAGGAAGAATTGTAAAAAATTTTTCGAGTTTACTTCATTACTGTGCGCCATAATGATGCCTGAAACTCTCGTGAAGTTAGCTTTATTACAGGTGTTATAACTCATGTCTGGCACTGACTATTCCAAATATATCAATGTATAAACATCTGCCAGCATGTCAACATTCTTTGAAGTGACCTGTTTTCGAGGCATTATCATAGTCATCATATCGCCGTAAAAACAAAGAAATTTGCTGTCAAAGCAACAATTAATTAGGGAATTCGCTAATGTATTTTGCCTCCACTGCCTCCAATTTAGATCCCCACATAACCCATCCAGTTTGACGTTGACAACTTACGCGAAAAAAGCGCGCTACTTTTGCTAGTAAGTAGGCGGTGTTGCTGTGCACATGCTAGCATGGCATAAAGAGCAAGGCGACCCTATGCATACACATACGCTCACTATTTACGATCCACCCTGTGGCCTCTCCTTGAAACTTCAATTTACAACACAATTTCATACTCATGCATAACTACGCTAACATACACGCGACGAAACCGAGAAAAGGTTTGGACAAATTTTACACATACTGGATGACTGCATATCGATTTGAGTAACTTAGAATATCGATTGCTAATTTCCTACGAATGAAAAGAACATGATTGTGAACAACATTGTGGAAAGGAACGACTTCAGCAGCAGGTCAATTGAATGTGTGTGCATGGACAGTTGCAATTGGCCAATTAAAAGTATGCGCGCGTGGGCGCAGTCACAATAAACACCCACACACACACAAGCACATCCAGTTTTATTTCGCGGAATATGTTCGAGGTGCGTCAAGGCACCGAAGCCTCTGTAAGGGAACATGCATGGCCATATTCCAGAGGACCCACGTATCGATTTCAAGTAATCGATCATGTGAGGAATGCTGCTCCTCATGACGCATCGTCTTCAACAGAGAAGACGGACTTGGAGACACGGATTTGGAGGCTGTGCGCCAGCCTTCAGAGCGTTCTGGAGCGGTCTAGAACGAAGAAGAGGTGGAGTAGGAGGGATAAAATCTTTCCTACATATACAACTTGCTGTCAATGCTTTTTTCAACCCTATGAACAGGATGTTTCTAGGGCTGATATGTGTGAGCTTTGAAGCAGTCCCTTAACCTCTACAAAGCCTTGTTTATGTCTGACTTCAGTGCTTTGGTTTATTCTTTTTGTAGATCTCGATAGTGGAGGAAATTTGCACGGGCCGCTGGATTTGAAGCATTCTTCCAAGTTGGATGGAATGAGGAAGTCCGGTGGCAGTTTCATCAAGAGGTCGTGGGTTGAAGGACAGCGATCACAGTCTTCCACAAGATCAGAAGGCAGGTTTAAAAGTCCTGGCTTTTCGGGCAGCATTCGTACTCACATACGCCACCTTAACTCAATCGCCTACAATGTTTAGTGGTAAACATTTATACCAATGTTCTATCATTGTCATATTCGAGCAGGATAAAGTAAAACTGGAATGTAGATTTAGGGTTCTACATGCGAGTGCTTGTCAAAATTTATTTGGCTTTGTGCTACACATTTCTGCTCTTTTTCTAGTTTCAAATGTTTTTGTAGACACTCGTGCTATTATTGCCATTATTTATGAGTTTCCGACTGTTAACTACCAACTGGCAAACGCCATCAGAACGAAACCATGGTTGTTTGGTTTTCTGCACCGGTATGAGATGGAGAAAAGAATATGGGCACTTATTCAATTTCTATACCCACTTATCGCTCACACACATGGCACATCGCTGTCTCTGTGCGGCCAGAGTAAATGTCAGTATATGAAATGAAAATGTGATCAGAGTGAGGAAAATAAAGGTGCTAGACGAAGGGAAATCTCTGGTTTAAATGTCAGCGGAAATTTTGGCCAAAACTTAAAAGAGTGGATTTTTCTATGCTGCTAATCCTGAGGTGTCATACTATTCATCTGGGTGAACTTCTGCCCGAGTCATTGAATCCCTGGCATCGAAGTAGAGGAAACTACCCTTTCTGCAAGAAAGCTATGCTAATTTTGACTTCACTGCCAAAGTATGTGCACTTTCAGAGTGATATGCATCGTTTAATCAGTGGTCAGCAATCAACCGTGTTTTCTTGGACTCTATCGTAGATTAAGCAGTAATATCGAAGGTGGCTGATGATAGATTTTAGCAAATTTGGGGCATACATATTTGACCTTCTGCATCTTCTTCAAATTCGACTAACTCATGATTGTTTGAGTGAATAAAATGTAAATAAATGTTATTGCTAATAGCCCTCACAACAAAGTTTGGAGGACACCTGTTAGTGGCGATAAGGTATAGATGTTGCTCAGCTAGGGTAAGTTTTATCATAAAATATAACTTTTCAATCGCATTTTTCGATAATCGAATTTTAAACTGGAGCTATTTATATTGAATTTTCAATCGTCATCGAACGATCAAGGAGAATACTTTGTAATTTACAATCTATATGAGGTAACTACACTATACTAAAAATAACTTCATTTCCTTTAACCTATTTTAATTAACTGTTGGAGTCTTCAAGCAAACATTTGGATAGTGGTAGTGGAAAGCTGTCTTATATCTCGAACCGGTTCAATAAAACAGCTTCATTTAATAATAATACATAAAATTGCTAAATATACCTTATTTCTTTTAAAAATCTTGTTTATTCTCCCAAAATCCCAATTATGAAATAAAACTGCTTGTTGAAAATGAATCATATAAGCTTTACAGTAGCAGGATGACCCACTGGCGCACATCTGTCATATTGGCAAATATTTTGCCGATATCTGGCATCACTTGACATCGACTGTTACCAGTTTTGGGTTCCAGGTAAGTTAATGCTTACGCATAATTTCTCAAACATTTGGAATAAAGTAGTAAATATTAGCCCTTATTCGAAAAAGAATTTTGAACAAACACAAAGCCAGTTATTAAAAGTTACTTTTAATTATATTTCCATATTGATTGTGCCCGGGATAGTTTCTCTTTGAAGCCATAAACTAGGTTCTGCAGTGTAAAATTTATGATTCAGTGATTCTAGCTAAGCAGTCTTGGCATTTGCTGCAATACCAGGAATAGGATCAAACATCCACCCACCCAAATAACCCCAGTCCAACCAATCATGTTGCTCGTATTCCTCCCTCTTCAAGGACATTGGCAACGCCCAAAATAGCAGCTATTTTGCAGATCTGTGGGGAAAAGGAGGTGGCAGGCAACCTTCCACTGTACACTGCCAATAATGTAATGTCACATTGGGTTTTGGGCCCTTTTCCCCACCTCTGTACCCGCGTGTGCCAGGTTCTTGGTTTTGTACTTAGACTCGAGGGGATGGATGTTATTAGGGCGTTGGCACTCGGACGCGGGAGCCTTGAAAGGTTCCTTATATACGAAATCACCACTGTTTGCTGATATTTTGAGGGCTGTTGGTAATTAGGTTTGGGTTGATACAAGGGAATGTTAATTAATAAAATTGTTGTGAACATTGTAAAAGGACTGCACGCAATTTTTATTTAGTTTCTATTCCTGTTTAGACAAATCACCCAATTTGACTATGATATTTCTGGTCTGACCTAGTATCAAATGCCTTCCCAATGTCTCTAACCCTGGCAACTCAAGAGAGTCCCAACGCTAGGAGTGATGCAGCAGTGAAAGTTGTTGACAATCCATCCCTGGGTCATGCAAAGTGTATGATAAGGAGCAGTTCCACTGAAACATTTCCGACCATCCCCAAGTAAAATCCATCGTTTCAATTTATGAATTTTTAATTATCACACAGTTGGATGTCAGATTTTGGAGACTTAAGGGTGCGAAACATTTTTTTCTAGTTTAAAACTAAATGATCCTGTGAAAGTCAAATAGTAGTGCCAAGAGCAACGTCTATTCGTTGTCAAACTTCTCATGGTGGACTTGAAAATGGAATGGAATTTAGTTGTTTTGTTAAATTTTAGCTGTGATTAAATTATGTGAGTCGACTATCATAACCTTGGTAATTTGTAACGCTTTAAACCATTAAACATGTTCGAATTTTCAACTCTGGAAGCATGTGAATATCCTGGAAACAATTGAGCACTATGGCATAAGGAAATTGATCATGTCAGTCTGGATGTGTTTTACTAATATGAGACCATTAGTTATAAATTTATTTGACCAATTCAAAGGTTACTCAAAACCAAAAATGCAATTATCATCAATCCAAAAGCGTTCTGCATTCACTTTGTCATGCTTTAAATTCGGCCAATCTGTTTCAAACAAACAACGTAGTGATGTCATCGTTAGCATAAAATACTAATGAACATCTGTAACTTATTTGCATCATGTGAGCTCGGATAAAAAGCCGGGGTTTCGGATGTGTGCGACTCAAGTTGCCCTCTAGAATCCATTTCTAGAAGAACATCTAAGTAAACAACTTTATCGATGAAATCATTATTTTTAAGTAAAGTGCAAATCCCAAAAACGTATGGACTACATTGTCGTTTATGATCAAAACTAGCAGCGATAATTAGTCAGATGGATTAAGCCTCAGGTGGAAAGGGATTTTGGGCTGAACAAAGCACCAAATCTGTGCGAATATGTACTTTCTATGGCTTTGTATATTAGGGTCAGTAAAAGGTCATCAATGGTCATCAAAAGTCATCATCAGGTGAACGATCCGGTGGAAGAGTCAGGGGGTAAGCCATAAGAGCGGCCTGCAATATCCAAGGGTGGTATTTGTACCTTGTGATATGAGAGTTGCGAATGCTTGTGGCATGCATATTTTTGAAAATTCAACTCAAATAAGAAAGAGCACATTTATCTTATATGAAGGTCGTGTAGTTGGCATACTTGAACCAACTGCTTAACTGAAGTAAAGCCGTTAAAGGCTCTAAAGTTTCTCACAATTCGGCAAGATACCTAACTGAGGAAAAATGATGGCTCACGGAAAAAAAACGATTTCCCAATAAGTATTAACAAACATGTTGATAGTGTGACTTATTAATGAAGCCCTTCTGGACCATTTCCTGCACGACCTTATCAACAGCTGCAAGAACAAGTGCAGCATATGAGTTTGTTGCTATAAACTGTGAACAAAAAATTACGCTCTATTTTGGGGAGTCGATGCATTGTCCTTTTTGAATCTTCCTTATACCAGTGCCCGTAGCAGCAACGCCCAGACCTAACATTATAACGGAATGATGGGAATGTTTCTACTGCAAGTTGAAAATCAAACATAATGCAGAACATATGGACTAGTATAAGAGTGGCTTGAAATTGCGCGGATAAATTATCCATCTAGTCCTTACACCTTCCCACAAATGAGGTTTACCTGAAGAGATTATCCCATGAAGTAGTTGGCACTTTATTCATTTCCCAAACCCATTTTCCTCCTTCGGCTGGGCTATCTTCGTGTGGGTGTATTCGCAGCTAACAAGAGGGAGAAAGAGCCTTTCTGATAATTAGTGTGGTCGCTTAAAACAGTGGCATTCAGCCCTAGCGCTAAATGGCAAATAGGGCCTTATATCTACGCTTCCAAAGATTGCTATTATTAGTAAGTTTTCGAGGCGCGCAGTTTCGCAGATTTACCACGAAAACCACTCACCTCCGGTAGTCTCTTGAGAAACCAATAACATTAGGGAGAATAAAATGCTATTGAATTACTAGTTTAGCGCCTGATAACGATTAGCTTTTGTTCTCCGGTAGAGTTGAACTTGCAGAATGCGGATAAACACTTCTAACTAATTTTTCGTCGTATTTCGATGACTCATTTATTCGTAGCCAATTATCCTGTTCATATTTGCATGAAGCAACATCAGGTGAGGTAGAGGAGCAGCTATTTTTCAAATATGGGTATTAACCTGAAACCATACGAAGCTTGCACCACTTACTTTTCCAATTACCTTGAGGTCATTTTTAAAACCCTCATGAAGTTAAACGCCTTTCTAGAGATGCGGAAAATTTGAGGCAAGTTGTGGCTGAAAGTTAATTCATTTTGTGCCAATACGGAGTGCAGCTTCTAAATATAGGACAATGCTCCAGCACTTCTGAAACATTTGTCTTCGTACAGGCAATACCACCACTTCTTCTGTGCCGGTTTTCATCAATTGATAGATTTTCTTCACTTTCTTGCCAGTGTATAACATTTTACTGTCAGAATTACCTTTATATTGACTTGAGCTACATCGGAACCAGTCATAAACACAGGATGAAGTGAACCTAGTGGTTTTGTGATATCCCTGATTTTTAGGCACAAATGTGTTTAATACAATATTTTTCATCTCTTCGAAGATGGGACTGATAAGAGACTTCAAAATCTGTACTTCTAAGTTCTTGAATAACTATTAAGTTCTCATTTAAATATTCTTTTCACAATAAATGCAACACTAACGTTTTAAGTATGGTAATAGAATACGCGATATCATCACAAATTTGGTCAACTTCACTGATGCAATGGCATTTTCTTGCAGGAAGGGCTGTGGCATTAAGCGTTTGTCAAAGGGGCCACCTCAAGCTTTTTTTCTACATAAAGAAGTGTACTGAGTATAGCTAATTTATTTCACTTGTCTCGATGCTTCATTCGAATCGCATGGTAGATAAGCTCTCGTTAATGCCGCTAAAATGATGAGATGCTTTGAAATTAGTGGGTCTTAAGGTGTGTCTAATGAGAACTTGGTGTCGCTTTTTTGTTAATCTATCATCTTTCCTTCATCCATTAGCCAATTACCAAACGCTTGATGGTTATCGCTCAAGGACTTACTCGGAGTCCAGAGGTCATGTGAGCGCCGAGATTGATGGGCTATTGGACGATCTCAACCGGATGCGGCATCGCGAGAACCTTAGCAACCGCACGAGCATGACTCGCTGGTCGTCTCTCGGCACAGTTCGTGGCGATGGCGGTAGATACAGCACCACCCTAATCAGACGACATATGAAGCGCGGTCGCGAGCCTGTGGATGTTTACCTCCAGAAACCGGTGGGTAAAGTGGTGCCCTTTTTTAGGTGACTACTTTATTGCTACCCTGTGAGTTTTCGTTAGTAATTGACTGGTGACCTCAATAAGTCAAGTCATAAATTACTACTGAACAATCTTTTAAGTGGAGAATAAATGCGTATGTAATGTTGTTTGGTTAAAAGTATTTCATGAATGAAAAATTCATTCAAGTTTGGAAATACTTTCCAATAAAAGGTGATAGGCTAAGTTATTCGATAATCATATAAAGTAAACACTTACTGTTAAACTCGTGCACCTTTCCACTGGTAAGTTGAGCAGGACACGTCTGCAAACTTTTGTAAGTGTGAACATCAATACATACAGTAGTATTCAACCGACTGCCTTTTCGAATAAGATGTCTCTCATGGTTTTCATGTCCACCCCTCTAGAACCACATATCCATTAACACATATTTTTTTGTGCAAATTGTCAGTCAGTAGTACCTTGTAGAGGTCTTTTAATAAAACTACCCTGTTCTCAATTACTTCAATTATTTACATGAGTAAAGAAGTGTACATTTTTCCACTTATTGGATTTAAAAGGAAACAGTGAGTCATTTTTAGGGTATGAAATATTCTAACTATCCACTAGATAATAATACGTTGAAAGAAGAATGACAGCATGTTAGAAGTTGAAGCAATCAATCAATCGTCATATGAGCTGTGTAACGCTTGAGGTTTCAACTTATTGGATTTTCATTGCAAGACGTCACAGGGTATCACTTTTTTGTCGAAATCTTGGTTCATATCAATTACACTTAATTGCAAACTGCCTTTATCTAGTTTCCATAATGACCGTCACACTATCTGAATTGTTAAATAAGCGCTCATGGAGGGCGTGTCACCAATGGAAAGAAATGCGCACAAAAGGAACGCGCAGAACAGACAGGGTCATATGACCTTACCGCATGCACTCACCACTTATGGCAGCTGAACTTGCCAAATACATCATCTCGGATAAGTGTGCTTACGATAAGAGTGAAACAATTTTTGGTTTTTTGTCAACGCAGCCATTGATTGCTTAAAAATTCAGCCACCCTCAGAACATGTTCAAAACTACCTATTCTCTAAGCTATGAATATCCCAGTTCTAGCAGGAGTTAAAGGATGCACTTAGTATTAATATCACAATGAGAATACACGTTTTTAACGTTGCATAAAAAAGATGCTGCATATTTCGTTTTATGCATGCAACATCACCAAAACGCTACTAGCACTAGTTGAAAATCTGCGTCCATTTTTGCAAAGAAAACCGACTTTCTTTCGTGGAGAATTGTAATTGTGTTCATTTTGGTAGGACGAAAACCCATGGTGAGGACAACCTAGCGTTCAAGTCGTTTTGACATGTTGATTTGAGGCATGCTTTCCAATCGTAGCGATTTTTCTTATTGTTAAATAATTGTTTGCTTGATAGATCTGGTTACGGTTAACAAAGGAAAAAGAGGCCATCTTGTGTCATAGGTCCAATGGGCATGAACAAAACGGTTTTAATATATTCGTTTCAAAGAGTGCATTGTTCCAGACTTTAACAAACCCGAGCCCTAATACCTTCTGGCTGACATTCATTCCAAGAATTGGAACTTTGCAAAGTTACTGTAAATTTTGTTTGGAAGTATTAAATCCGTTGTAAAACAACTCATTTTTTATCCGATTAACAACTCTCGTGTCTTAATTAGGATTAAACTCAACGAGTTTTATGAAGGAGGAGTGCAACATAACGCGAATGTCAAGTAGAGTCTGGAACGAACAGGTGAATGAATGACCGAGTAAACGCATGATTCAGTGGATGGACGTAGAAACGAATAGTTGATCACATTTTACGGATGAATGAATTACGGGTGAATGAATGTATGCAGAAAGTAACAAATAAAATAATGAGTAGATAAAAGGGGAACCAGCATCTGAATGAATAAATAAAAGTGATATGGGAGCTACTGTATTTGTTTAATCGGCAATTAGTAATTGCCCTTATTCTGATTAGCGTTTAACTTCAGGTTAAACAAATATTTAGAAGAGGATTTTATGGTTATACTATGCTAAAATGTCTCGTTTTACATTATGGAATCATGGAATAAAAGAACTTCCTGATATTATTTTCAGTTCAATTGAATGTATTTTTGTTGCGTCACAAAACTTGTTTTGACCTTTTGCTGGAACATATATCAGAAACTGGGCCAGAACTAATTTCAAAACAACAAAGTGTGTTAACACCTGAATAAAATATGAGATTTGACAACTCAAATTTTGGTGATATACTACATCTTTGCATTTGCTTCAGTTATTTTGTTAATTTTTTTGCCATAGATAATTAGCAAGATGACAACGAGGTTCGAAATACTTCGAAGTATGGATTAACGCGAGCACGAATCCCTTTATCTGATAAGTTTGGGAATGAACGTATAGAGTGATTCATTTTATTGTCTGTGTTTAATTTTTTTAGTTGATTTTCTAGTGTAACACCAATTTGAGTCCTTTAATCAAGTGTTTACGTGCACTTTAATACAGTAACGGAGAGGTTTAAACCCATGGAAACGTTAAAATGGCAGCGTCTTCTAAATGTACCATAACGTAGTTTAAGAGCGCTCTGCCACTTCTTTCGTTGTCAGTTGACCTCGAATCTGTCTAAGGTGGATCTACTGTCAGTGGACAACCGCAGCGTTCTCCGTGTCTCTCCGGTCACGCTACAAGAGGAAAATCGAAGCTCTGCTCGCGAACAGCGTCTGATAGATGAGTTGATGGAGACGAGACGCGAGTTACAGCGCACCCGTAGCATGATGTCGGAGGATGGAAAACGGGGCCTTAACTATGGATCTACGCTGAAGGTTCCTATCAACAATGAGGCGTCGAGAAACCACAGTATGAGGTAGTCTTCCACCGCTCCACCGACGAATAATTTGTAAATCAGGGACTAGACATTATGGATCTAATATGTATTCCAGGGGCAAAATTTGTCTACACCTTGATGTTCATTGTTAGGATTAATACACATATCACTCATAGAACTCTTGAAATCCAAAAGATGGTTCATTGGATTTTAGAATAATAATATTTGTTATGAATGTTGGGTGGAAAATTGACCAAATGTGTACCATAATTCCTACATGGTCATGAAACCGGCGTTACTTTTTGGTCAACTTAACTACCATCCAAAAATTGAAAAAGGAATTCAAGTGACTTGTTTTTGACAAGATTTAACACAATCAGTCATTATAACCGAATGAAGAACACGTGTCACGTATTCGTGACGCCGTATTGAAAAAAATTTATTTGAAACCTGTCACTTTTACAAATCAAAAATTTATCGTCAAAGAGCTTTTATAACGGGAAAGCTACTCTATGATAAAGGAAAGTACAAAGTGCTATGTGGTTTTGAGTACGTAATGGGGGAATATTCTCATGTGACACAAACATCTTTTTTCGTAGCTAGGGCTTTATTTTTTTCCAAAAACTAGTTTTTGCATGATGTCCACAATTATGGGTATTTTTATATTTGTAATTCACGAAGTCCACAAACGCAGATAATTAAAACAAAGTAAACCAGCTAAGAGTGGGTTAGTATCATTTTATGGAATAGGCCAGTTAAGAATAATTAGACTATTGTTCTCAATGGCATTAGGGAATCATTTCAAATGCTTTGAATCGCTAGTGAAATGAAGTTTATATTTATCTATGTGGGTTTCATTTGCCAGACTACGAATATTTTGACATATCACTGCTGCGTGGTCACCGTGATAATAATATCCTAATCACCATGCCGGAATATCACTCCTTTGCGATGGCCTTAAAAATATTTTTACAATCTGTTGTTTAATAATACGTTTAAACACCTACCATTCTCCCTACATTTTATGTGGTCCTGTTGACAAACATTACGTCAAAACGGGACTATCCAAAACTGTTAGAACCTGCACAGAATTCCATCCGCTAAAGTTAAAAGGACATAATTAGAACCGCTGCTCAAATTATTTAAAGACGCGACTGGAAATCACGACTTTTTGAATTAATTTAGAGTTCTGTTCGTAGATCGATTTTCAAATATTGACATTTTAAAGACAAATTCACGATTGACACGGTTTAAAACTAATCATTTCATAAAGTAACTATGTAAAAATTCCATCCACGAAAACTACTGGAGATTTTCGTGTTTTGAAGTCATCTGTTTAGTTGATGAAAAAACAAGACTGTGCATGGATGGGTTTGGGGGTATTAAAACAATCCATAGGCGAAAGTGGCTGCCTTTTAAAAATAAGTAATTGTCTATTGATAATTTTCATTTCCCCTTCACCTTTCCTTTCACCACTCCCTGGATAGAGCCAAAGGCAAGTTTGAAATTATCTCTGCATGCATGAAGCTATCGCATGAGCGGAGCTTATATAAATAGTTGCACTTGCGCACCACGATACGAGGCACACGCAATTATCGATCACCACTCTACGCATGTGCATCAGTTCTGTTCACATGCCCTCCATCGAATGCGCACCCTCTCAGTCACTCACACAGGGACACGTACGCACGTATGCGCACGTACATTTGCATTGCACGCGTGCAAGCCATCTCTTCAGTGTGTCGGAGCTCAAGCAAGCAGATCCAGCATACGACGGCGCCAAAAACAGGAGGAAATTAAAAAAAGAAAGAAATAAGGCCATCAAGCGCATTGATAGACAGAGGGCTAACCAACGAATTCATTGGCGTTGAATGCTGACAAGGCAGGGGTAGAGAAGATATGGAGGTCACAGGCACAGACTTTGGCATCCGCGATCCTGATAACATGACCCTCTATCCCGCACCGAATTTCATTCATTCCCCCGAGCGAATTCGGGAACACATGGGAGAGGTACGAACCCCTCCTTTGAGTCGAATGTATCGCTGTGAAGAGACAGTGTCACCTATCAGCCGATGTGTCTCCGGATATTCCAGGGACTATCAGCAGAAGATGTATCGAGGCGGATTTTCCCAAGATCTGCAAGCGTCCACTGAGAACTACGTCTCCAGCACTGGAGGCGCTACTTCACCAAGGAATTTTTCGCTTTCGAGTAGGTCTAGCTCTTGTTTTCAAATTTTATTCTTTATCACAATAAACTTATTGGTAGAATTTGTGCGCCAACCTAATGCCAATTACTCTCTCAGGGGTAGTAGCCATTTGTATCATTTAATATCTGATTTTGCTGGGACCTCTTCATTCACGTCAATTCTGGAAAATGGAAAAGAGGAGGAGCAGAACGCAGTAATGTTTGCGGGATTGATTGCCGTTCCTTTCCTTAACCAGAAGCTAACAAGAAGGCAAATGTACTTTTTCTCATTTTGGAAATGAAGTACAGTGATGCTGACTCACAAATGCTTAATTAAATGGGCATTACTCAACCTCATCGCATAAAGTGCCTGTGTGCGTGCATTTCCGCCTTATCCACGTGTTTCTGCCCCGTGAGAACTTAGGCTGATCATCTGGATCTATGTTTCTGAGATGAATTCATGAAAAATCCAGTCTCCATACTAATCAAATCAGTCACAAAACCTATTGGTTCTTAGATTTACTCTCTGCCGCTTGCGAAATATGTCTTACAAAGCGTATATCAACTAAACTCAAACTTATCACATGAGATTGGATTTTTAGCGACTTTGGATAGCCTTAGCCGCCGCATTTGGGGGGCGTATTTCGCAGTTTTCGGTGGTTTGGATCAGTTAGAGTTCCTTTTGCAACAAAAGGTCAAGGCGCGAATCATTCCTCACAAAGGGCATACTGGTATGGGACATTATTTTACCTAAAAGAGCTCACGTTCTTTTTCATTTTTAGAAGAAATTATCTTAATTCTTACCAGTTGGTAGTTGTTTACTCGGAGAACAGTGAATTCACCAAAGATTTGGCCTGTTTTCTCACGAACATGCTGCTGTCATGCTTTCATTGTTAGCATAGAATCAACTATTAATTCATGTGAAAGTAAACACTTATTGATCACCTTTTTTGACATAGAATGCCATGAAAGTTTCTTTCGTTTAGACAATATAATCCGCGAGGTATTTATCACTTACAGTTAGAATTGAGCCATTCTAGTTTGGCTGCTTCCCATTTTTAATCTTTGCGCCAAAGTACCGATGATTGATGATAGAAGAATCCAAATAAGTGAATTTTATTTATCCACTCAAATCTTTTGTCATATCAGTTATCTTCAAACCTCATTTGTTTTGAATTGCAGAAGACCCACCTAGCATTTTGATTAATTTCAAATGGTTTGTTTGTCTGTTTTATCGTGCCGATGAGGTTTTAAATTGGCATTACACAAAAATTCTTATATGAATGCCTATTTCTTTCTTTCTTTTCCTCTCAAAATGTTGGGGAAATTATGAATCATTTGTATTCAATTTCGCAAGATTCGTGAATCCTTCATTTTCTTTTGATTTCGTATTCCTGTTAACAGTTTTGACTTTACACTTGAAAGAAGGAGCTTTCACAAATATATGTATTTTGAATTGATTTTTTAGAACAAATCAACTTTTATTTGTTTAGAACGCCCTAATCGACTATTTACCTTAATAAATACCTTAGCAACTGACGGTGCCACCGTACACCCGAGTGCAAATGCCCTGCTTCGGGTAAGCGCAGCAACAGAGGTAATTCAACTCTCGACTCAAATAACTCCGAAGCAGCTGTCAATAAACCTACAGACGTGGAGGCAGGGGCCCGTTGCCAAAATGGAGGCATCCGCCGCTAGATGCCTGCTGTAGTTCACTCTCCAGCTAGTGCTGTAAGCGGAGCAGGTTTAGAAGAGGTGTGTTTTTCATTGGGTGACTAGTCTAAGGAAGTACCGTTGCAGAACAATACTTCTAAAAAACCTTACTTTAAATCGGCCTTTGACGGCGCACTAAGACAAGACGTGGTGAACATTTGGCATTATGCTATCACAGCTTCATCTAATGAACATAGTATGAATTCATCCTCAAAATAGTCATTTATGAACTTCGGAAGTCAATCATTTGGCACATATTTCATTTGAAATGACGATTTTCTTGATTCCAAAAGTTCCAGTAAATAAAAAACTGTAAGAAATTGTTTAGAAAGATGGAATGATGTCTTAGTGATGAATTTTTGGTATGTAATGCTGAAATATGGTTGACTCAGATTTGGAATTAACGTATCTGACCTGCCGTCGCCTTATGAAACGCTACTGTTAAGTGTGGTGAATCCCTTTATTTTGATGGATTTTTTATCGTTAATTTAATTAATTAGCGGTGAGAACTAAGGAATGTTTTCTATGGAGGCAAAATCGAAAGACATGTAGAGGAAATAAACATCCTATAGCTTAAGGCCTGTTTCCTAAAAATAACGTTATATTGATAGACGAAAAGTTCGGGACACTGTTGGCCGGCATTTCGTGATAATTGTGTATACCGTTGAAACAAATGTTAAATTGGATGCTGGTGAGATAAGAGATGGCTTCATTTAAACTTGTCCGTTTTCGTATCAGTAGTGGATATAAAATTTGATTCCTTAAATTTCTACATCAAAGGTACCAATACTAGAATGGTATGAGGGAGTTGATTAAATGAATGAATTTGCCCTCTGTATTGGATCCTATTCCTACTGCTTTTTGGTAATGTAGACTTGCCTTTTAGTTTTGTAAAAGCTATGTGGGCCATTTTTCAGTACATCTGTGTCATGCAATATCAGTCTTTTAATAGAGGAGAGAGATGCCCTTGTGGGTGTAAGTTAACGTTGGTCACAATGATAGTGGTGTCCGATGGCTGAAAAGTTCCCATGACTGCACATGACAAAGAAGTGGAGGGTGACATTTCTTTCCAACAGAGACCCCTTAAGCTATGTGATTTTATGATGCAGAGTTGATCTTCATACTTTTCTTCCGCATTTCTTCAGAATAGTGATTTCATGTATGAGGGTCGCACAATTTGTAGCAAATTAATCAAATGAAAAAGTACTTTATTTGGACTAACTTATGTCAGTTTTTAAGTCCAAATTATTACAATGTAAAAGGGGTCAAGCCAAAGGACTCAACGATGCACAAGTCATCTTGATTTCCCTTAATTGAAATCAAATACTTGCCATTATTGTAAAGGGAACTTCATAAATTGATGTTCTTTTTACCACTTTGCTAAGCGTGTGGACAGTGATAAAGCATTTAAAATAGCTTTTAAATCACCTATCTAAATTTTAAAGTTTGTACTAAAATAATGCTTAAAGTGGTTTGCATCAATAATTCCGTTTCCAAACGGGCTCAAAACCCCGACCAAGGTTATCGTGCATAAAATTTACCTTTTTTAGTTTTATCTTGGGCTAGAACGGCTTTTGGTGGCTGATATCAAGCCGTTTGGCCAGGGAATAGGGAGGGACCCGGTGATGAAGAAAGGAAGGAATACCATCTCTTACCCGTCAGAATGCAGAAAATAATCTTGGTAAATAATAAGTCACACGAATTACTGTTCGGTGTCAATGATAGTGATACTTGAGAAAGTGTGTTTACCCCATGATAAAAGTTGCTTTAACTGTACAATAGAATGTAACCTTTTAAAAGGTCTCTTTATTTATGCGAATTGTTGTGATATCTGGTTAGTAACGTGTAGTTAAAGCAGGACTTAATAACAAACATTGCCCTTATAATTACTTAAATCGGAAAACCCAGTAGCCGGGGAAAAACATTTGTGATCAAATGAGATAAAAGTAGTGCGTTTATGGAAATCGATCCTATCCAAATATTGACAGTTCAATAAGTTTTCCAAAACGATCAGGGTTGTTTCTCAAATGAGTTTCATTCGTTTCGAATATGGCGTTTAAAATAGCGAAAAATGTGCCAAGTAAATGCTTGGTGTTGCAAGCATTCTTACTGATGACCCTCTCGTCTACGCTTTGAGTAATGTAGTCCGAGGCGCTTCAATCAGGGAAACCAAAGGCGTAACTTGACTGTGCAAGGTTTCGATCGTCCAGTTCTGGTTTGTACAGGCTGGATGAGAATGGTAGGGCATTGATAAAAAGCGCGTAAAATACCCCTCGATTCAGAAATTGGTAATGTTCACTAAAGTTATATTGAGATCCAAATCCTGCGGAGTAATTTTCCAGCACTTGAGCTGTTTCCTCTTTTTCTCGTGGCGATCGCAGAAATTCTTCCCTAGTGGTGGATCTGATGATCACCTCCAAGGTGGATGTCAACTCGAATAGGTAGATGGTAGCTCCGAAGACGTATATTCACGTTGAACTAGGGTTGTTTTGTCTTTTAGATGGAGCCAGTGACTCTTACACATCCTCCACCCGTTTCAACCATCCAACTTCTCCAACCACAAACATCTCGATGCCCCGGCGTTCCATTCGCGAGACCTCGGTACGAGTGCAGGGTGGACAAGACGACCAGATGGAGTGGTCACGAAGGGAAGAAAGTGTGCGAGAAATGGGCTCAAGCCGTTATCACTCACAGCTCTCCAGCCGTCACTCAGACCACCACCAACATCAATTCCTTAGCTCGCCGCTGCCCCAAATCAATGGCTACTCGCCACTGCCACCACCGATCCCAACACCGACCAGTCCGGGCTCGCAGAGTGTAAAAATTACGCGGAAACCCATCCAGGTGCAGCGAAATGGCGATCAGGAGGTGATCACTACGGAGGAAGTGAAAAAGGAAGATGACGACAGTGAGACTATCATTCACCGACGCACCATTAGACGGAGTGGGTAGTCATCTGTGAGACTTGGATGGACTAGTCTAGAAGTTTGCGCAGTACTTCTCATTTATACGGAGGCCATTTACGCTGAACCAAGACTGTTGAGTTTGCAAAATTGTTTACTTCTAAGAGAAAAAAAACTATTTTTATTTCCAAAGTAGTCCCTTATTGTACTTGTAAAATTTGTCAGCATTTGGCTAATACTTGGCAAGCCTCAATATTAGAAAGATTTGACAGTGGAGTAGCGGTAGCATTCCTTCTCAAAAGCGTGAAATAAAAATTTTCAATTTAACTTGAATACCACTGTCATTAATCAAAGCAGTCTCTGTGTTCCCGGTTGTGCTCCCATGTTCAATATGAGTGTTGTGGAACGGAGCGCAATGATTAGTGTAACAGTGGTCAAATCTACCGCTTCTTGATTTAATCACGTAATTCACATCTAGGCTTATGGCTGCGATGCCAAACATGTCACATGTATGTGACGCCATGGGTGAATGGTCTAAGTATCCTGGGTGTAAAGGTGTGAAGGTAGCATGCGTAGAACTGGTCGAACTTCAAATAGATAGAGATTGAAATTGTAATTTATCACCTTCGGAAAGGTTTAATCACATTTAGTACCATTTGCCCCGACTTAGGCTATTCTCTTCCTCCAGACAGTAAGATGATTTGTATTCCACTAACCTAGATAGACCTTTTCCAGTGTTACCTTTTAAGAAACTGGTAATATGATTAGATCGTACTTTGAGGTGCCCTGATATTCCTTTTTGACACTTTCTGCTAACTCTATGTACAGGGTGTTCCTTCTAAAGCCACTGCTTACTTTACACGTTAGTCCTAATGTAAACCCTATGATTCAAAAGTAATCTAACTTCTGTTACATGTGATTTCTTTAAATCACCTTGAAATGGGAAGATACACTCGGTATAGTTGTAACTTGTTTAAAAATATTCTCACTTTCAGAACGTGTTCCTTCGTCTCATTTGATCTCTCGTGAGAATAACGTCCCGGAGGATTGTGAGTATAGCCGCATTTTGTTGATCCACAGTTAGCAACCCGTTAGATACACTCAGATACATACGTTTTTGCCATTCCAGTTCAGCGAACGTCATCTGTCAGTAGTCAAAGAAGAATCGAGAACTCCAGAAGTAAGCCTTTCTTTTTGGAAAAAAAATGACACGTGAATTCCTTCTGATTTCGAGGGACATGGATTATTCATCGTATGATCAAATGTATACAAATTATAGCCATGTGCATTTAGCTCACACCATTTACTGAAGTTATATATTTTTACCTCTAGTATCAACAAATATTCTTGGTTCTTGGAATGATAGACAACCAAGAAGCATTAATTTCTCACTAGATTACCATTTAGCTTTCAGCTTTTATTTTGTATGAGTGTATCTACAAAACCCTGATAATTGGCAATTTGCAAGGAATGAACACGTCTTACACAACAATGAGGCTTAAGACAAGCCATTGTTCCAATCTTCAAAGCAGTGCGTTTTTTTCAATTCATTGCTAAATATAGCTATTCCTTCCTCGGAATGTTAGCTAATGCTGCTTAAATAAAACCGGGAATTCGATTTCTTGCACGAGTAGAAAGGAGGACTTTTTGTAAGAGAAAAGTAAATTTCTTTTTTGACAGTCCCTCTCTTATTCCATACATTTATCCTCCATCGCTTAAATACCGCCTGGGGGGCTTCGGATTGGAAAGATCTGTCTATAGGGCTGATCCATCCTAGGGGCCT